TTAATTACATATGCAATTGAGCTTGTTAATTAAGTTGAAACTCAATACAGTGGCCCCTCGCTAAGTCGCGGGTGTTGGGATCCAAGCAAAAACCGCGACTTATCGAGGGGCCACTGTATTTCATAGCACATATCGTGTATTGACAAATCAAGTAAGTCTATACCTGCTTTGCTCTGATTTGGACTATTAGTTTACAAGATATTAACAAGAATTCAAATTAATAATTAAATATGCAAATGAGCTCATTATTTGATTTCTTGAAAAAATAAATCAATGTGCATCTGTACCAGTAGTCACTAGGTTTTTGTACCAAGTCTCAGCAAAATCGGTCAATGTGATGAAATGATGATGAACACACCCAAAAATATGGAATTTACAGGATTTTGGCATTCAAAATGGCCGCCAGGCAGCCATATTTTATCAAATCAGGAAATAAATTCAATGTGAATATACATATTATAATACCTCCTCACTGTGTCTTTGTACCTAGTATCATTGAAATCAGTCAAGGCATCTCTGAGAAATATCGATGGACAGACAAAAGCCATGATTAACAATCAAAATGGCTGCCAGTCGGCCATATTTGATCATTTCAAAAAAGTAAAACCACATGCATCTGTATGGGTGGTCCCTTTGTCTTTGTAACAAGTCTCAACTAAGTCGGTCAAGCCATCTCCGAGAAATGACAATGGACACACAAGGACCGAATTTGAGTGAATTTTTGCATTAAAAATGGCCACCAGTCAGCCATATTTGATTAATCGGGAAATAAAGTGCAAATGTATGGTTGACCACTATGTCTTTGTACCAAGTTTCAAAAAAATCGGTCAAGCCATCTCTGAGAAATAACTCCAGACGGACGAACGAACGGACGAACGGACTGATGGACTGATGGACTGACGAAGGCGGACTTTGTCTGGGTGGAGACTAATTAGTGATAAACTTAAAATCCTGGAAGGTCTTGGAAATGTGATGTTATTTTTTTTTCTTTTTACTGAATTCTGGATATTTTTTTCACACAAAAAGTTTGAAAACTTTAAAAACCTAAATTATCAAAGCCTTTCTGCCACTTAGACCCCTTTCTTTACTTACCTCATTGGGTATGTACAGCATCCAGCCCTTTTCACCACAGTGTGTCATCGTTAATGCTCTAACACCGGATGCATATCCAATATCAATAACCTAAAGCAGGAAGAAAGTCAATAGTTTGTGTAAATGTATAACTGTAAGTTGAAAAATGATATCAAAATCTCAAATTTCCACTATTGTATTTATGGTAATAATAACTGTGATAGGCCTTATTCATGACCTCTAAAGGTCACACATCCTGGTACTTTCTGACCTCTAAAGGTCACACATCCTGGTACTTTCTGACCTCTAAAGGTTACATATTTCAGTATTCTGACCTCTAAAGGTCACACATTCTGGTTTCTTTCTGATCCCTAAAGGTCACACATATTGGTACTTTCTGACCTCTAAAGGTCGCACATCCTGGTACTCTAACTGTCAAGCATCCTGGTATTTTCTGGGGGTATTGTCCTATAACAGGAATAAATTCCAATATTGCATCTCAATGTTAAACTGTTTTTAATCTTGTGATAAATGATTGTTTTATTTCTCAAACTTCAATTGACTGATAATCATATATGTATGTGACATGAGACTTGAACCAAGACATGAACGACACTATGCTGAGCAGTACAACACAGTAAATATTTCATTCAGCCACCCTCAAAGAAAGATAACTGAACTTATTTCATGCCAAGAATGTGAAAATGGTCAATGCTGATTCAAGTTACACATCCATAATTAGATGTGTATGAAGACTATCCTGACATGGTGGTAAATGTGGATTTCATGATGTCTGCATATTGGTGATGTGTCCGAGTCGCAATTATGCAAATTTTTCATCAACTGAAAAATGAGTAAAATTATGCAAAAACCTGGGCTGTAAACGGTTTGAAGTCACCACTTTCCAATGATGTGGTCGTCAGTTCTT